AGCGCGGATGATGCAAGATGCTCGAGCGGGAGGAGGTGGAGGAGGAAGAGGAAACATAGTCAGCAGTGAAAAGAAGAAAAAAAAGCCATAGGCTCATTCAGTGGTGGCCTCGGCCACTGTTTCGCGGCCAAGGAGTCCTCCCGAGGGCAGGGACGTGTAGGACAGCGCGTACTCTTCGTTAGTCATGTCCTCGGACTGGCTCTTCACGCTGAGATGTTGCACGGCCAGGGGGCCCTCCCAGCCGTTGGACATGGACGTGTAGTGCATAGCGTACTCTTCGTTGGTCATGTCCTCGGCCTTCCACTCCACGCTGAAGTGTTTCACGGCCATGTGGTCCTCCCAGTCGTTGGACAGAGACGGAGAGCTCTCGTCGTTTGTCATGTCCTCGGCCTTCCGCTCCCCGCTGAAGTGTTTCGCGGCCACGTGGTCCTCCCAGCCGTTGGACAGGAATGTGTTCTCGGACTTCCGCTCCACGACGGCTAGGTCGTCCCCCCAGTTGTTGGACAGGAACGTGTAGATCGAGGCGTACTCTTCGTTAGTCGGGAGCTCGGACTCCCGCTCCATGCTGAAGTGTTTCACGGCCAGGTTGTCCTCCCAGTCGTTGAACAAGGACGTGTCGAGCGAGCCGTACTCTTCGTTGTCCGTGTCCACGGACTTGCGCTTCACGCTGACGTGGTTCCCGGTCCGGGGGTCCTCCCACTCGTTGGACAGGGACATGTATAGCGAGGCGTCCTCTTCGTTAGGTATGTCCTTGGACTTCCGCTCCACGCTGACGTGTTTCACGGGCACGTAGTCCTCCCAGTCGTGGGACAGAAACGAGTAGGACGAAGCGTACTCTTCGTTATTGATGTCCTCGGACTTGCGCGCCACGCTGAAGCCCCTGGCCTGCACTTGCACATCCACGCTGCGCGGCGACGCGCCGTGCGGCGCACGCGCGGGCACGCCGAGTCGGCGGCGCGTCTGCCCACCGCACCATGCCGCGAGGAGCCATTGCATGGGACACCACGCTCTCTGCCTGTTCGCAAGCCGAGAGAAGGAGAGGAGTGGAGGCCGCTGTGTCGGCGATGTCCTGAGCAGATGGCGGCCTTTGATGATGCTGATGATGATGATGATGATGATGAGGAGGAGGAGGAGGAGGAGGAGGAGGAGGAAGATGAGGAGGATGAAGACGTGGAGGAGGAGGGGGAGAAGGCCGAGGAGGAGAGGAGGAGGAGGAGGAGGAGGAGGAGGAGGAGGAGGAGGAGGAGGAGGAGGAGGAGGAGGAGGAGGAAGAGGAGAAGGAGGAGGAGGAGGAGGAGGAGGAGGAGGAGGAGGGGGAAGGAGGGGGAGGAGGAGGAGGAGGAGGAGGAGGAGAAAGAGGAGGAGGAGGAGAAGGAGGAGACGGGGGAGACGGAGGAGACGGAGGAGCAGGAGGAGCCAGGAGGAGGATGCGAAGGAGGAGGGGGAGAAGGAGGAGAAGGAGGAGGGGGAGGAGGAGGAGGGGGGGAGAGAGGAGGAGTATAGAGGAGTGGAGGAGGAGGAGGAGGAGGAGGAGGAGGAGGAGAGGAGGAGGAGGAGGAGGAGGAGGAGGAGGAGGCGTGGGTCCCCCCCCCCCGACCTGTCCATGCGTTGGAGGGGTTGGCGCGGCGGGGGGACCCACACCTCCAGCGTGTGGACAGCGGTTGTGTTGCTCCTATCGCATTTAAGGACCACATCCCAGAAATAATGTCGAGCACCCAGAAAAGTATCGAAACAGTGTCGGGCGGATCCAGCTGTAGCTACGAGAAGCCTTCTGTCCCAAACGGCAGAAAAGCTAGGAACCCAGCGCTTGCCTGACTTGAACACAGACCGACAGCTCGACTCGGGCTGCACGTTGCTTCGAGACAGTCGGTGCATCTAGGGATCATGTCCCCCGTATCGCCTGGAATCTGGGGGGCATTCGGGCCAAATATCAGGCCTCCGGGCGGCTGTTCGGAACGATTTAGGCACCCGGGTACGCTGTCGGCGAGGCACAGCCGCTGAAAGACATTCCGAGGCTAGAAAGCCAACGAGAACCGACGAACACTTCCGACAACCTCGAACGATGCATCCCCGGTGACGGGCCCAGAGATCTGGACCCCTTCCCGGGACCAGATTTGCCAGAACATCTACCAGATACTAAGTAGTTTCTTGCCAGGAACTCTACCCGGATTTGACGAATTTGTCCGAATGCACCCGAGTGTGACCGACATCTTCTGGCAAGTATTATGTTAAGTTTCAGTCGCGAGTTCGGCCACACCAATTACGTTTTCGGATACAGGTTCGGGAACATCTCTGGTCAAGCATCCTCTTCAGTCACAAAGCTATTGGGCTGATAGGGGCCCGGCACCATGATCCGATATGCACGAATCAGGGTCAGCCCGAACCCAGGTCGGCCAGGGCCCTGTCGCGAAGCCTGGCCGGTTGCTTAGCTCCCAGACCCCAGAATGGCGAGGAATCGGACCCACGTGGATCCCAAACGCGGGTCGGCCAGAGGTGATCGGTTGACACCCCTTCCTGAGGAGGCCTCCCACATCGAGTCCGAACAGCTGGGGTCGAAGGAACGCGCCGCATCGCCGATGCACTGTCAATGCATCTAGAAAAAGAAAAAACCACATAAGCATAAACTTTTGGCGCTCCGCGCGGATTTCTCAGATTCGCGCTGGATTCCCCTCCCTGGCGCGCGGAGCGCGCTAGGGGCGGCGCCGGAGGCGCCACTGGGGGGCCCAGGCGCGGATCCAAGAAATCCGCGCGGAGCGCCAAAAGTTTATGCTTCTGTGTTGCTTAGTCTTCTTCGAACATCGCCGCCGTCGGCACGGAGAAAGTCGGGCTCCGCATCGAGCCGCATCGCCGATGCGTCGGCGCTGCGGCAGAACCCCCCGACTCCAGCAACTCCGAGCCCACCCGGGAGGCACAGAGCTACGTTTAGGTCGGGCCTGTCCTAAAGGGTGATTTTTTGATGAAATTTAACCAATCGTCAGAATTATGTTGGGGACCTTTTTGGGGAATACTCCTCCTGTAGAGGGACACGCCCGACTTGATCATCGACCTACGTGATCGGGGGCGAAGATGGGGGCGGACAGCCCAGGAGGTGAAGGAGCCCAGGGACACACAAATAAATAATCACGCGAATCCCAGGATCCCCCATATTTCCCCAAACAGTGCTTGCACCGAAGGGGTCCCAGCGGAAGTTTCCCAATCAGTGCTTGCACTGAATGGGTCCTAGCGGAAATTGAAAGATTTGGCGAAAAGTTTCCCGCCGATTCTGGTAGCAAGCTGGGTTCCCGGGTTCCCGGCTCCGGATTATTGGTTCCAGGCCGATTTCGGTGGGTTCTGGGTTCCTGGGCTCCCGGTCGATCTCCTCAGCGAAAACCATCCACTGATTGGGGTTTTCTCTTGTGTAATTTCCGATATTTTCTGGGTTTCGTCTGCCCCCCCCCACTTCCCACAGTTTCCCATATTCTCCGGTGAATCGGCGATTATTTGTGTCTGTGTGTTTCTTTCCCTCCTGGGCAAAGATGGGGGCAGACAGCTCAGAGCGGAGAGCAGCACATGCGTCCCAGGACGCTGGTGGCCCATGCCTGCCACGAGGCGCCTGGGCGAGCATGTGCAATTTTAAGTCGGGCCTGTCCTCCTACAGGGCGATTTTGCACGAATTACAAAACATATTCAAACAATACTCAAAGCATCGTCCCCCGACTATTTTTGAAAAAACTATTCGGGGATATTCCTCCTGTAGGGGGACAGACCCGACTTAAAGCTACGTGATCGGGGGCAAAGATCAGAGAGGGCAGAGCAAGCAACACATGTGTCCCAGGACGGCAGTGGCCCATGCCTTCCACCAGGCGCCCGGGCGAATATGTGTAATGCTAGGTCGGGCGTCCCCGTACAGGCGGATTTTGGACGGAAAATAAAAAATACTCCCGAAATATATTCAAACATACCGTATCATATATAGTTAAAACATAGATGCACAAATACCATACACCGAACACATAGATTCAACAATACATTCAAAATAGAGAATGCCCCGGGAATATAACAAATACCCCCCGAACAAAAATAACCCCCAGACTCTTGTTTCCTCCTGTAGAGGCACAGGCCCGACACAAGTGTGACGCCCGCCCCTGCGCTGTTCGGCCCTTTCGGCGCCCCCGACGCTGTGGACGCCCGAAACGGACACGGCAAAAATGAAGGGGCCCTGGGACACACAAATAAATACACACAAACAAATGAATGCCCCATATTTTGCAATATTTTCTGGGTTTTTGTCTTCCCCACTTCCCATATTTTCCCATATTTTCCTCGGAGTCGACGATTCATTGTGTCTGTGCGTTTTTTTCCCTCCTGAAACAAGGGGTGCGATGCCCAACAACCGATGCCGTCCAGAGCCCACAGCGGCCGGTGCTGGGCAGGCGGCCTCCTGCCTCGAGTGGACCACGCCCGCGGCGGCACCGACATCGAATCTCCTTGCTTCCTGCCTGCTGCCTCCGCCCGGCCCCCCTTGCGCCTGCCCTCGGGGATCTGCTGACCTGGGTCAATCTAGACCCGGGTCGTTGGACGCCCGAAATGGGTAGGGAAAAAATCGGTACAATGCCCAACAACAAATGCTGTTCCAAATCAACAGCGGCCGCTGTTGGGCAGGCGAGCTTCTGTTTCGAATTGACACAGGCCGCGGCGGCGTGGACAGCGAGTCTGCTCAAAACGAACAGGAACTGCTGTTGGGCATTGTACCCTTTCTTTCCGTACCCATTTCGCGCGTCCAGAGGTCAGTCAGGCCTTGCAGGATCGTGCAGGATCCTGCACCCAAGCCAGGATCAGTGCACCCTTGGCCCTGCAGGACCCTGCAAGAGCGGGCGCTCTGGCTGGCCCCCGTCTGCATTGACCCTCGTCTCTCGAGCCCCGATGCCCGCCCGCCCCGCTGGCCCCGGCCTCCTGCCTGCGCGTTCGTCGTCGTCTGCCTGCTCCTCCCCTCCTCTCCCCCCTCCGCCGGGCAGCGCAGCCTGCCCGGGACCAGCGTGGCAGCGCGCAGGGCCTTCTTCGCCAGCAGGAATACTGAGCCATCGCACGAGCTGCTAACCACGGCGGTCTGTCTTCGTGCCGTCTCTATTTGCACCCACTTCGATCGCCCCGAGACTGGAGGCCTCTTAGATGGGGTCGGAGCAGATGGGGTCGGAAGATCGCGCCGCTTCGCCGATGCATCGGCGATGCATCGAATGTGCATCGTCCACGTCGGCGGTGCATCGGCGACGTCGACGTGACGCAAACCGGGCTGCACATCGAGCCGCATCGCCGATGCCTCGGCGATGCAGCGCGATCCTCCGACCCCTATCAAGGAGGCCTAGTGACGTGAGAGCCGCGACTGCGCGAGCGGCGGCGAAGACGAGCCCCGCGCGCTGCGCAGCGCCGCCGCGCACAGGGTTAGGTCGGGCATGTCCCCCAACAGGCGGATGTTGGGCGACAGTGGAAAATTTGTCAAACACATGTTGTTGGACTATATTTGAAGCATTTTTGGATTATTTGTTGGCTATTGTAATGACTACTTTCGGGTTACGTTTAAACTTGTTTGGACTATCTCTGGAACATCGTACAGTCAACCAGTATAGTAAGGATGCGCGATAAGGATGCAAGGGCCGTGGACGCCCATTTCGAAGCTTCTCGAGCGGGGCGCGGCCAGCGAACGCGGCGAAGGATGGACCGAGGAGGCGAGGCTGCAATGGCACCCTCGGGAAGGCTGCCCATCCTCACTCTGCGGGTTGACTTTACCCCGGCTATGATTTCGCTGACTTTTCTTGAACATTCCTCCTGTCGAGGGACGTGCCCGACTTCAGCACCGGGCCTGTCCCCCTACAGGGGGGCTTTGGGCGAACATTAAATTCATTCAAACAATACCCTCACACAGTCAAAAAATAAACAACAAATAGTCCCCTTAGGATTGTTTTAAGCTATGTTTGAACATTCCTCCCGCCGAGGGGTGCGTTCTGACCAGCATTTCGAGGCGAATCCGGCAGTGGCGACGAGAGCCTCCCATGGAGGCCCAAACAGGGAGCATCTTGCTGAGCATCTCTGAACATTCCTCCCGCCGAGGGGTGCGTTCTGACCAGCATTTCGAGGCGAATCCGGCAGTGGCGACGAGAGCCTCCCATGGAGGCCCAACCAGGGGGCATCTTGCTGAGCATCTCTGAACATTCCTCCCGCCGAGGGATGCGTTCTGACCAGCATCTCGAGGCGAATCCGGCAGTGGCGACGAGAGCCTCCCATGGAGGCCCAAACAGGGGGGCATCTTGCTGAGCATCTCTGAACATCCCTCCCGCCGAAGGCGGCATCGCGCGCCCGACCCTCCTCAGCTCGGGGCCCCCGCCGCCGCCCCCGGCCCAGCGCCGCGCCGCCGCGCCGCCGCGCGCCGCCGCGCCTCGGCGCGGGGCGCTCGCCTGCGCCCCCGGGCGCTGGCGGCCGTCTCCTCGGCGCACGCGGCGCGGGCGGGCGGGGCCTAGGGGCGCCCGAGGGGGAGAGCGCATTCGGGGAGGGCGGCCCCCCCCGCGGCCCGCCACGGCGGGCGGAAGGCCGTCGGGCGCCGCGCTTGGGCGCCGCCGCGAGGGGCGGGGGGGGGGGGAAGGAGGAGGAGGGCGAGGAAGGGGCCCGCCCCGGGCGGAGGCGGCGGGGGAGGGAGGGGGAGGAGGGGTGAGGGCGGGGGAGGGAGGAGGGGGAGGAGGGGGGGGGGAGGGCGAGGAGTGGGAGGCGGGTCGGGGGGCGGAGAAGGAGGAGGAGGAGGAGGAGCTCACGCCCCCTGACGGAGGAGGAGGAGGGAGGAGGTGGAGGCGGCTCCGACGGTACGAGCCCGCAGTCCTGGGCGACCTTTCCTCGATCAGGGCTCGAGCGAAACAGTGTTTTCGGTTCTTTCGCTTTGTGCTCGCTTTCCCTCGATCCGTCTTCGTTCTGCCTCGGCTCCGCGCCCCCCGCCAGAGCCCGACCGATCAATAAGACAAGACGGTCCTCAGAACTCGCCCACAACAACCCAGACTCTCTCCCGAACGGCTCCTAGCTCCCGTCCTCGGCCTTTGCGCGCACACGCGGCGCTCCGCCTCATTCTCGCCTCCCCCCGCCCAGCCTGCCCCACCTGTAAAGCAGCCCCCCGGCCCCCCGGAGCAACCCCCCCCGGGGCGGGGCTACCAATCTCACCGCATCAACACAAAGAAATCCGCGACGAGAAACTGGCCTAAGTCGGGCCTGTCCCTCTACAGCTCTACAGGAGGAATACCCAACAATAGTTTATAAATCATATGGGGACTGTGTTTTCTTCATTCGTTGACTATGTGAGGGTATTGTTTGAATGAGTTTAATGTTTCGCCCAAAGCCCCTCTGTAGGGGGACAGGTCCGACCTAAAACTGGCCCTGGGTACGGGGTCGGAACTTCCGGGGCCGCAGATTGGCAAGCATCACGTCGTCGGATGTCTGGGTGCGCGGGGCGGCGGCAGGATCTCGAGGATGGAACGTGGTGAATCGAACTTCGACGATCGAGAGATTTCTGGTAGGTTTTCTCTCTCTCTCTCTCTCTGGGCCTCCGCGCGTTCTGGGCCAGAACGCATCCCAGGAGACTTCCCCGGGTCGAGTTTGGACCCCCCACACAGAGCTCCAACATGGTCCCAGAGAACACATGTTGTTACAGGCCTCCTAGATGTGATCCGGATTGATGGGGGCGGAGGATCGCGACGCATCGGCGATGCATCGGCGATGCATCGGCGATGCATCCACGACGTTGTTTGCTTCGAGCAATCCCCGCCACAACAACGCGAAACGGGATACCAAAGGAGCGCACCAGCACCCTTTGGGCATGGCGGTCTCGCGGTATGCAGTCGTCAGTTGTGGAAAGCATGCGGCGGCAAACCCAGCGATCACCTTGTTACCGTCGCGAAAGAGCCCTGCAAACCCGGCGAACGCAGGCACACTTTGGGCCTGGCGTCCGCGATACGCAGGGTGTGCGAGGCGGGTCGGTGTAACAACCCCAACCTTCTGGGTGGGACCCGCAAACTTCCCAGCGCTTCCGGCCTCATATGCCGACCAGCCATAACTGAGGGAGCTGTGGTCCTTACCCCCCTAGGGGAACCCATCGCATCGACGATCTCTCTCGAGAGGTGTCGAAATCGATGGGTCTCCCAGGGGGGTAAAGACCACAGCTCCCCAGTTGTGGCTTGCCTGGTAAGGGGACAGGGGAGCCAAGAATCGAATCGATAAGTCGGATCGGTGATCGAAATGAATCGGATCGGCGGAAATCGGCGGCCGAGTCGAGAAAAGTCGAATCGGCGGAAATCGGCAGGCTAGTTAGCCTCCAATAAAGAATCGGAGCCCAAATCGGAATCCCAAGTCGAATCGAATCGAAATCGGAAGCCATCGAAATCGAATCGACTCGAATCGGAGGAATCGAAACGAGCCCTGAGGGGGTCCTCGTGGGCGGGCCGCCCACGCATAAAAAACTCGGGCTGAAAAACCCGCCGTCGGGAAAGGGTCGGCACGCCCCCCCCCCCGCCACATTTTATCGGAACGCATCGGATCTCTGGAACGCCTGGGACGATGACGGCCGTTCAGATCCAAGCGACGCCAACAGCGGGGCGGCTGTTGTTTCGTCATCACATGCGCCCTGGAGGGAGCGACGTCACGAAACATGAAACCTCGGAGGAGTGTGGTTTCATACTAGCAGCCGAAGAGCGGTACATACACTGGTGCCCATGCGTTGATGCATTGATTTGTTTGCTCACAACATTTTTGTGCCGGGTTCTCTGAATAGAGCACTGTGGTCTCCTCTCCCCTCCTCCCGCCTCCCTCCAGCCGTCCTCCTGCCTCCTCCTCCTGTTAGCCTGCTCCTACCTCGCCATCCTTAAGAGGCTGGGAACTGCGAGACTGTCACCATTTTCAGGCCGCTGGGGTGGCATGAAGCGACTGCGAAAAGCGAGTACGGGACCTCGCCGTCGAATTGAGACACCAACACTGGGGCCCCGGAGCGGGCCTGGCCAGATTCGGCGTCCGTGTACAATTCTCGTGGAGACATCTCAAACGAGATCCGAAAAATTGGGTCTGAAGGCCGCCCCGCATCGCCTTCGGGGATCTGCTGACCCGGGTCAATCCAAACCGGGTCAGCCAGGCCTTGCAGAGTGCTGCAAGATCCTGCGCCCAAGCCCGGGTCAATGCGAAGGATCCTGCAGGATCCTGCACCCAAACCTGGGTCAATGCGACCCTGGCCCTGCAGGACCCTGCAAGATCGGGCGCTCTGGCTGACCCCCGTTTGCATTGACCCCCGTTTCTTGAGCCCCGATGCCCGCCCGCCCCGCTGGCCCCGGCCTCCCGCCTGCGCGTTCGTCGTCGTCTGCCTACTTCCCCCCTCCTCTTCCCCCTCCGCTGGGCAGCACAGCCTGCCCGGGACCAGCGTGGCAGCGCGCAAGGCTTTGTGTGCATCGGCGACACACCGGCGCCGCTGGGGAGGCATCGGCGCCGTCGGCGTGGAGAACACTGGGCTCCACACCCAGCCGCATCGCCGATGCAGAGGCGATCCTGCGACCCCGTCAACGCGGGCCCCATCCGGGAGGCCTAGATCGTCAGGGGTCTCGGGGGCAAAAACGGAGGAGGAGGAGGAGGAGACGGAGGGGAAGGAGCAGGAGGAGGAGTGGGAGGAGCAGGAGGGGAAGGATAAGGATGAGGGGAAGGATAAGGAGGAGGAGGAGGAGGATTTCGCCACCCGAGCGCCGGGGGGGTCAGCCACCACGCGAACAACAGCGCGCAGGCGCCCCCCCACAGGGCCCGCGGGCAGGCGCTGCGCCTCGAGGCCGCCCGCGCCATGGCCGCGCGCGCGGCCATCGCCGCAGAGTGCCGCGGGAGCCAAAAGCTCAGGCAGTCCCACCAGCGTTCTGGGCGTGGGCGGTCTGACGATACTCCAGATTTCGTAATAAAAGGGAGGGGGTCTGGACCCTCCAAGACAAGCCATCCCCCGTGGGAGAACCCTCCAAAACATCGTCCCCAGACCCCCCAGGCCCTCCAAGATAGCCTGGAAGAGGCCCCCCCCCGAAATGAGACCCCCCCTCCCTTTATTACGAAATCTGGAGTATCTAGGGAAACGAAGAATGACAGAAACACAATAACTTGAGGGTCCGCGCGGATTTATCGGCTCGGCGCTGGGGCCCCCTGGCACCGCCTCGGGCGCCGTGGTACAGCGCGGATCTGAGGATTCCGCGCGGACCTCG